TCTTGGTCCACAGGACTGCAGTTACTCCCTGCAGGCAGCAGGGCAGGAGCTCGGTGTTCTCTGGAAACAGGGATCTAGCCCAGGTTTTATCCGGGGGAAGGTGCCGGGGCTGTATCTGCTGCTCGAGGCTGTGCAGGACCTCCAGCCAGGTTGGAAATTCTCCATTCCCAAACCTCCAACCGCTCCTCCCTGTATTCCACCCCGAGGAAGAGGAGGGATAACGCAGAGCCCAGTGTGGAATGCCCCGGGAGGCAATGGCGGGGTCCTGAGTGGTGGGTCCATGAGGTGGGATCCTCAGAGTGCAGCAGCAGAAATCCTGACTGTGTTTGTGGCTGGCTGCACGGATACACAGGCTGTGCTTGGCTCCTGATGGATCTCCAGTTTGAGAGCACCTGGTCTGCCCCTCTGCGGCTTCTTGGCTGGAGGAAGGTGGATTCTGGTGTGGGGCACACCTGGCAGAAGCCTTGTGCTGCGGCGTGGGGGCTGCTCGGTTTGCAGGAGGTGGATCCTGCACTCCCACGGCCCCTGGATCCCTCCGGCTCCGGGGAGGAGCCCTGGGGGTGGATGGCGTTGGTTTTGGAGCAGCTCAGTGCTCCCCGTGTGCTGCCGGGGTGTGCCAGACTCCCTCAGCACCCACGGAGGGCAGGTTCAGTGTGTTGTCGCCAGAGCGACACCGGGATGCAGCAGCACCTGCCCGGAATTGTTTCCCCTTCTGGTGTTTACAAGCAAAACGCAAAATATGTGTTGTGTAAGGAATTTGAAAAAACATCCATTTCTCTTTGCTTTCCACTCCCCTTGCTGTGCTGTTTGATACGACTTGATGCTTATCCTACCTGTAGTGAATTCATCACCTTTATAGATTGCCTGAGCTGTTGACACACAGGCAGGAGGACAAGAGGAGAAGCAGGAAAATGATACTTGAAAATCACAGGGGAAAAAAAAATAGTGTGGAAGGTCTTAGACTCGAAACTACTTCTGTTTTTCAATTAACTCCATTATGTTGTTTCTTAAAGAGATTCTTCAGTGCAGAAAGAGCTGTGCTGAATCCACAGAATATTGTCACAAAGATGTATGTTCCATCTTAATTAGAACTAATTAATACGCTTTGGCTCTCGCACTTTCTGTCTGGTTGAATCTACAAAAAGGTGAAATCCTAGCCTGGAGCCCTGCCTCGCTCAGGTGATGGCCAGGAGTGCCTGGGCTCCCAGCCTGGCTCACAGCTCGGGGCTGAGTCCGTGCCCAGCCCAGGTGCGAGTGCGTCCTGTCCATGGCAGTGACCTCATCCCGGGATGGGGATCCTGGATCCCAAAGCTGCGGTGCCATTTCTCCCTGGAACCTCTTGGTCCACAGGACTGCAGTTACTCCCTGCAGGCAGCAGGGCAGGAGCTCGGTGTTCTCTGGAAACAGGGATCTAGCCCAGGTTTTATCCGGGGGAAGGTGCCGGGGCTGTATCTGCTGCTCGAGGCTGTGCAGGACCTCCAGCCAGGTTGGAAATTCTCCATTCCCAAACCTCCAACCGCTCCTCCCTATATTCCACCCCGAGGAAGAGGAGGGATAACGCAGAGCCCAGTGTGGAATGCCCCGGGTCCATGAGGTGGGATCCTCAGTGGTGGGTCCATGAGGTGGGATCCTCAGTGGTGGCTCTGAGGTCCCACCACTGAGGACCTCGAGTGGGTGATGGAGAGCAGCAGCAGGTTCCTCCTCTCCGTGGGTCCTTCCTGGGCGTGCGGTGGGCGATCCAAGGTTTTCCAGCAGATGGAAGTGGGGAGATGGCAGTCAGAGCCAGGGCGAGGGGGAGCATTAATCACAGTGAGAATTAGCCACCACCAGGAGCCTCGCGTGGCAGCAGGAAGGTCAAAGATGTGTCCATTTGGCGAGTTTTTGCAGGGAGTTTTCTCTGAGGAGTGAGGGGAGGAAAATGTTTGGCTTGTTGTGACTTTGAGATATTTGCAGCGTATCGCTCATGCATCTTGCATGGTGCAGACACCCCCGAGAACTCAGATCTCCTTGCTGTCAGAGAGGAGAAACACATGAGCAGTGTTAAATCCACAAGGAGGGTGGCACTCCTTCCCTGGGAGAGGGAAGAAATGGCTCCAGCTAAGAATTGCCCTGGATTACTGCCCTCAGAGTTTATTTTCTTCGGATCCTCCAATAAATTCCAGCGTCTCTGTTGTTGGGAATAACTGCAGTAGCTGAGAGGTGGTGGTTTGATCTGATGATGCCTGGGGGTTTTTTTGCTGTTTCTGACTGAGCAGCATTAGCAAAAATATAACAGCATTAAAGGAAACTTCTTAGCTAATCAGTCTGCATTACAACTTATCATGAGAAGGCCAAAATTAAAATGTTCTTTTAAAAGCAAGCCCTTTATGATTAAAAGCTTGATGACTCGCACATTTGGGAATTGGCACGAAAACCTGCACTGGGGGAAGAGGAGTGTGATCAACCTCGTGGTGTTTGTGGTGGTGCACTGCTCTCGTGTTTAGGTGGAGAGATGCATCCTACAGCACTCCAGGAAATGCTGTGCAGCACAACTCCAGGCATAGTGCAGCTGAAAACGGTCTCTGGAACTAAATCAGTAGGGATGGAGCTTTCAAATAGGCTTTTATGTGAACTGTGTTCATGCTGTCATTGCATTTTTACGTTCTCCAAATGCTTTGTGGCATTTAAATGCAATTCGGCTTTATAATTTAATTTTATTTTGCTGCTCCTGCTGCATTTCAATCTACCTCCTTCTGTTAATGTGTTATATTTAATATAGAAAAGGCTGCTTATGAATATTCCAATGTTATCCCGGTGCAATAACCATCCATGCCCAGCCCTGGTGTGGCAGTGAGGGGTCCCTGCAGGTGCCAGGGTTATTTCCAGGCTAGGACACACGTCCTGGCTCCAGCAGGACTGTGAGCACCTGGCTCTGGTGACAAATCCCCCAGGTGGGCTCAGGAGCAGGAGGGCCCTGCTTCAGAGAGGGGGTGGCTTTTGTCCCACGGATGCTGCTGGGAGCATCTCCTGTGGAACTGGGTCAAGCATCCCAAACACCATCCCCACATCCAGCACAGTGGCACTGGGCTGAGGAGCTGCCCCCCCCATGCTCACAGCACAGTGGCACTGGGGCTGCCCTCACCATCCTCACAGCACAGTGGCACTGGGGCTGCCCTCACCATCCTCACAGCACAGTGGCACTGGGGCTGCCCTCACCATCCTCACAGCACAGTGGCACTGGGGCTGCCCTCACCATCCTCACAGCACAGTGGCACTGGGGCTGCCCTCACCATCCTCACAGCACAGTGGCACTGGGGCTGCCCTCACCATCCTCACAGCACAGTGGCACTGGGGCTGCCCTCACCATCCTCACAGCACAGTGGCACTGGGGCTGCCCTCACCATCCTCACAGCACAGTGGCACTGGGGCTGCCCTCACCATCCTCACAGCACAGTGGCACTGGGGCTGCCCTCACCTTGCCAGATCCACAGCAGCCTGTGTCAAGGAAGGGAGGTGATTTGTTGGGCAAGGCTCAGGCTCAGTGCAGGAAGAACAGGGTTTCCCATCCCTGCATCAGCTAGGTGCTCCCCTTAAGGGCTTTCCCAGTTATCCCATGGGATCATGTTTTAGGAGTCTTGGCTGAGAGCCCTGGACAGTTCTGCTCCCCATAAGACAGCTGCTGGTACAGGAGGCTTTCCTTCTGTGCTCTGCCAGCAATCCTCCCTGACCCTTTTGTTTTCCTGGACAATGTCTCACGTGAAGGGGATTGGGATTTGTGGGATGCATCCTGCAGGGGTGACCTGGAATGACTCGGGCAGGTGTGATCCGCAGGTCTGCGCTGCCGAAGCCATCTGTCCTGTGCAGGCGGTGCTGCAATACCATGGTGACAAGCAGCCAGTGCCTCTGTCCCCACTGGTGTGCCCCGGGTCCCTGCTTCCCGCGGGGCAGCCGGCTCCACCCGGCCGGGCAGCAGCACAGGCACGGGGGCAGGATTCCCTGCGGAGGGGCTGCAGCGGGGAGGGACCGGGGCGGCTGGAGGAGCTCTGCTGCCTGTCCCTGTGCTGAGCCCTCTCTGCTCAGGATGGAGGAGCTCTGCTGCCTGTCCCCGTGCTGAGCCCTGTCCCTGCTCAGGATGGAGGAGCTCTGCTGCCTGTCCCCGTGCTGAGCCCTCTCTGCTCAGGATGGAGGAGCTCTGCTGCCTGTCCCCGTGCTGAGCCCTGTCCCTGCTCAGGATGGAGGAGCTCCTGCCTGTCCCCGTGCTGAGCCCTCTCTGCTCAGGATGGAGGAGCTCTGCTGCCTGTCCCCGTGCTGAGCCCTCTCTGCTCAGGATGGAGGAGCTCTGCTGCCTGTCCCCGTGCTGAGCCCTCTCTGCTCAGCATGGAGGAGCTCTGCTGCCTGTCCCCGTGCTGAGCCCTCTCGGCTCAGGATGGAGGAGCTCTGCTGCCTGTCCCCGTGCTGAGCCCTGTCCCTGCTCAGGGTGGAGGAGCTCTGCTGCCTGTCCCTGTGCTGAGCCCTCTCTGCTCAGGATGGAGGAGCTCTGCTGCCTGTCCCCGTGCTGAGCCCTCTCTGCTCAGGATGGAGGAGCTCTGCTGCCTGTCCCCGTGCTGATGTGGGATGCATCCTGCAGGGGTGACCTGGAATGACTCGGGCAGGTGTGATCCGCAGGTCTGCGCTGCCGAAGCCATCTGTCCTGTGCAGGCGGTGCTGCAATACCATGGTGACAAGCAGCCAGTGCCTCTGTCCCCACTGGTGTGCCCCGGGTCCCTGCTTCCCGCGGGGCAGCCAGCCCCAGCCGGCCCGGGCAGCAGCACAGGCACGGGGGCAGGATTCCCTGCGGAGGGGCTGCAGCGGGGAGGGACCGGGGCGGCTGGAGGAGCTCTGCTGCCTGTCCCCGTGCTGAGCCCTCTCTGCTCAGGATGGAGGAGCTCTGCTGCCTGTCCCTGTGCTGAGCCCTGTCCCTGCTCAGGATGGAGGAGCTCTGCTGCCTGTCCCTGTGCTGAGCCCTGTCCCTGCTGTTCCAGGGGTACCTCTCTGAAGGCCTGGTGACGAAGTGGTACCGCTCCCCCCGCCTGCTCCTGTCGCCCAACAACTACACCAAAGCCATCGACATGTGGGCAGCTGGCTGCATCCTGGCCGAGATGCTCACCGGGAGGATGCTCTTCGCTGGTAGGTTTCTGTCTCCTGTTCATTCACTTTTTTCCTCCCTCTTTCCTTGCTGCCCAATTCCGAGGCTTTCTAGCCCGGCAGCTGTGTGGGGAGAGGAGATACTGGTGCCCTGTTCCAGCAGGTTTGTACTCTGTGCCATGGGTTTGGATCGTGATTGGTGTCTCCAAGCTATTTCTTTCCTTTGAGGGAAGACATCTGAATGCCGCCACCCATTTTTAGGATTTACCTCTAAGCACAAATTGCAGCTGTAATGGTGAAATGCAGGAAAAGACAACAAAAGCCCAGCAAGGAGTTATCAATGCAGCATTTGAAGCTCAGCTCTGACATTATTGAGAAGAAAACATGTATTTAATGGGGCCCCAAAGATGCTGTGTCGGGAGCAGAGCTGTGCCTCCCAAGCTGGGACACGGAGCCATGGGCTGAGGGACGGAGCAGCTGCCCTCTGCCTGCTGCAGGAGCTGCTCCCCTTGCAGCCCAGAGCTCCCCTGGGCTGTCTGTCCGTGCTGGCAGGGCTCTGGATGACCAGGTTTAACGCCTTTGCTGAGCAGCCGTTTGCAGAGCTGTGTAAATAAATAACCAGACCCGTTAATAATGGAGGAGGTTTCCCTCACAGATATCTCAGCGCACTGCTGAGCTCCACAGACTCGGTTGCAGCTGCTCTGTTGCTGCCTCCCCACTCCTGCTTGCAGCTTCCATATTTCTTTTGTGAAAGCTTTAAGATAATCAGTCAGTACCCTTATGAAGAGATCATTAAAACTGCCTCCCTTTCCTTCCTTATCTTCTTCCCCAGTTTCACCAAAGCTTTCCAGTCCAGGGGTTTCAGCTTTGAAAACTGTGTGTTTAACCTGTCTGCTCCTGGTGTTTCCTTGGGAAATGTTCTAGGAGCAGGGGCATCTGCACATGCATGTGCAGGGAGATGCTGCAGTCTCTGTACTTATTCCTGACATCAAACAGCAAAACAAGAGCTGCCTGTTGAGCTCTCCTGGCCACCAGCACAGCTCCCAAGCTTTTTTGGCTTTTCACATTGTGCTTTTTTTTTCTCTCAGCTCCAGCTTGGGTTTCTTTTTGCTCTTTGTGGATCCCACTGAGGTATCCAGGGTGGTGCTTTAAGCTCATTTCATGGTGAGGCAGGGGCAGAAGTAGCCCTGGGATGGGATTATCTGTCCTCTGCCTGGGTGAGCTGCCCCATTCCACACAGGAGCATCCCCAGGCTGGCTCCTGAGCCCTCAGCAGGTGGAGACCAGAGGTGATTTGAGGTGATTTGGTGATCAGAGGTGGGGTTTGGCACACCACAGCCTGGGCTCAGCCAGGCACACGCTGCGAGCGTCCCTCATTCTCTGCCTTCCAGCCCAGCGAAATCACTTAATAATCCCCAGGTGCTGGCAGCGTGCTTGGTTAGTGGGTGGGGATCAAAGCCAAGCTCAAAATGTCAGCTCCTTTTGGGTGGCTTTGAAAATATGTCATTGTCATGGGAGGTTCTGGCCGCTGCCCCCTTTTCCTGGCCTCCTCCTGTGCCAGCAGGTAGAGCAGGGCCAGGGCAGGAGCCTGGCAGCAGGCAGGGTGCCCGTGGTGTCTTTCATCTGCTGCTCTCCAGAGAGGAGGAGGAGAACATATCCCAGCCCCTCAGAGCAGCTAAAACTCACAAACACCTGCGCAGCAACATGAATTCACAGAGCTGCTGCTCTTCTCCTCTTTGCTTTGGAGAAGGAGCTCGCCCCCAGTCAGCTGCAGCCTCCCTCCCTGCAGGGTGAGAGCTTCACAGAGCTGCAGGTGACACCGTCACAGAGCCCTGGGTGCCAGCCAGCCCTGGGTGCCAGGGAAATGACAGCAGAGTAGTTCAGAGAAAGCCTCCAGCCTGCAGCAGCCCCTTGCCCTGGGTGAGTGGTTTCTTGAGAGTGCAGTTTAAATTGAGTGCTCAGCATAAATCAATATAATTAACTCAGTAGTCCATCTGGGGTGCTTAAGCAAGGCAGGTAAGTGAAGGTGATTGGTTATTTGTAGATGTCACTCACTGCTTCCATTCTTCCACATGGATTATTGGATGTGCAGCCAAAAGGGACCCCAGCCCCTCCCAGGGCCCCCTCCCTGGGTGCTTTGGGTTTGGCAGAGCCCTGGGGGGCACAGCCAACCTGGCTGTCCCACAGCTCACGGGGTGCAGCGCATCCTCAGCAGCTGGAACCTGGCTGGCAGCCCTTGGGAGAGCTCCCCAGCAGCACAGAAAACAGGGAAGAGTGTCCGTGGCTGAGCAGCTGCAGCTCCCTCCTGTGTCTTTTCCACCGAAAGCAGCAGCGGTGGAAGCAGGAGTAAATGGGGAAAAAGGAGAAAAGAGGAGGAAAAAGGAGGAGAGATCTGTCCTTGCAGATCTGCATGGGGTTCGCAGTGAGGCTGTGACCAAGAGCTAGAGATGGCACAGGGGCTTTTCCCGTGGGATCAGGGCTTGCTCCAGGGCTCGCGTTCTTCCCTGAGGCTTGGCTGCAAGCCTGGAGAAGGTTCTCTTTTCCAAGACGTGGTGCAGAGCTCCTCATTCTCCCCCTGTGTAACAACAGCCTGCCGCGTTTATTCTGCCACCGGTCCGTGTTCTCCTTTTCAGGAGTTAATACCTTCAGAAAAAGGGCCCTGGGAATTCCATAAATAGCGGATAATGGAAGAGAATGGGGTTTCTTGAGAGCCATAATTCAAGGCTTCCAGCACTGCATTAGCAGCTTCTTTGTGTGACTAAACACGGTGTCTCTTGGCTGCCAGGTATCTTCAGTGAGCAGTGGCTGGGGCTGCACTGAGGGAAAAGCCACAAAGGCTTTGTGACTTTTATCACCCTATAATTTTGATCACAGCTGGGGAATTAGCCAGGCTAACAAGGTGTTCATTTCCTGGTAGATATCTTTAGTTTCCCCTGGAGCCACGCTGTGAATCTCTGAGTGGCCTAAAATTAGTTCTTCTGTAGGAAAGGGAATTAATCTGCCCAGGATTGATATGGGAAGGGCGTCTCTCCCTCTGTCTTCTCTGCTTTTCCTGTTGCTCTGTCTCGTTGATTGAGTGGCTGTGTGTGGTGCTGGTGGCCAGCTGGGCTCTGTCAGCACCACTGTGGGGCTGCCTGAGCTCACTGCTGTGTCACAGCTCTGCCCTGAGAGTGGCCACCACACTTTGCTGGAGAAGGGAGGAGAGTTTGCCAACATCTCTCATCGTCCCCACCCTTGCCCAAGGGGGCTGTGCTGGGGGTCAGCGCTCTCGGCGTTGCTCTCATTGGGCCCCTGAGCTCCCCTGATGGGGGGAAACCTCCTTTAAACAGTTCTGTGCCAGGACTGAGAGACACACGGGACTTTTTTCGGTCTTCAGGTTGCTGTTTATTGTCATCTTATCAGAAACTTGCATGCTCTCTGCACCAGACAGCAAAATGGTCACAAGATGTACAGTTTCAAGGTCTTTTAAAGCTGTTTTATCCAATTAACTCTTAAAATGTACTTTATTTCTACCTTTCTACCAATAACTAATCCTCTGTCTGTCCACGTAACCTCTGCACTGAGGACACAACGCACTGCACTTCCCACAGCCAATCCCTCTGTGCCACCAGCACTGCAGAAATGGATGAAGAAGAAGAAGAAGAAGAAGAAGAAGAAGAAGAAGAAGAAGAAGAAGAAGAAGAAGAAGAAGAAGAAGAAGAAGAAGAAGAAGAAGAAGAAGAAGAAGAAGAAGAAGAAGAAGAAGAAGAAGAAGAAGAAGAAGAAGAAGAAGAAGAAGAAGAAGAAGAAGAAGAAGAAGAAGAAGAAGAAGAAGAAGAAGAAGAAGAAGAAGAAGAAGAAGAAGAAGAAGAAGAAGAAGAAGAAGAAGAAGAAGAAGAAGAAGAAGAAGAAGAAGAAGAAGAAGAAGAAGAAGAAGAAGAAGAAGAAGAAGAAGAAGAAGAAGAAGAAGAAGAAGAAGAAGAAGAAGAAGAAGAAGAAGAAGAAGCTCAGACAATGCCCAAGATCATCCATCTTACCTCCTATCTACCTTTACACTAAAAACCCAAAACTCTGGATTTCTCACCCTGTGACAAGCTACACTATTCTCAATCGTCTGTTTCACAGCCCTGTGGACTCCAGTCCATCCCAAAGGCTGGGAAGCCCTCTCCGTGGGCGAAGGTTAAAGGCAGTACTTCCCTGAGGGTCGGGACCCCTCAGGGCAGGCAGAGGAACACTCCCTGTGCCCTGGCTTCCAACGAGCTCCATGGTGTGAGTCTGGAAAACTCGTGCTGACCCGCAGGGAGCTCTGGGCTGTGCAGGGCAGCCCCTGCAGACACCAGGGAGCTCCACGGGAGCAGGGTTGCCTCAGAGCAAGCAGAGCCCATCTCCTGTGGGGGGCACTCCCCTCCTCCCTGCTGGCCATCGATGAGGTTCACTTTCCTTGTCGTGGATGGGATGGGTGCTGCTGGCCATTGCAGCAGCCTGAGATCCACCCCTGGGCCAGCAGGGGCTTGGTAGCCCAAAACTCCCCCTGTTTTGGCTGCCCCAGGCTACTCCGTGCTGGCCCTGCCTCTGAGGACAGAGCATTTCTACCCAGCCCTCCTGGCAGGCAGGAATTCCAGGGCGCAGCTCCGTGTTCCTGCCAGGCTGCTCTGCCCACGCAGGAGGCTGGGAATCCCCACGGAGCGCTTGGTGGCATCCCAGAGAGTCTGGAGAGTGGGAATGGTGCTCACTAACGGGGTGCTGTGCTTGGCTCTGCTGCTCTCCTCTCACTGACGGGCAGCCAGCCCTGAGCAGGGATAAATGTGTCCTGGAGGAAAAGGACTGAAATGGCACACGGCAGCCGTGGGGTTGTCACCACCAGAGCCCGACTTGGTGCCCAGCAGCTGCTGGGAGCTGGTCAGAAAACACCTTTCCTCTTGGGGTTGGACACCTGCATCCTTTAAAGGGGGAGCCTGGGGACCCCTGGAGCTGACAATACCCAGTTTAACCTCTGTGTCTCGTCTCGTTCTTCCCGTTCAGGGGGCCACGAGCTGGAGCAGATGCAGCTGATCCTGGAGACCATCCCCGTCATCCACCAGGAGGACAAGGAGGAGCTGCTGAAGGTGATGCCCATGTTCATCAACAGCACGTGGGAGGTGCGGAAGCCGCTGCGCAAGCTGCTGCCCGAGGTGGACAGTGAAGGTACCGTGGTGGCCACTGGCCCAGCAGGGCTTCTGTCCTCGGCGCTCTTTCCTTGGGGTGCCACGGGGGCTGAGGCTGGACAAGGCTGCACGTCCCTGTAGCTCAGGTGTCCCCACTGCTGTCCCCTCACAGTGGCCTGTCCCCGGGCCCTGCTGCAGGACAGCTCTCACGATGCTGCGCCGTGCCCGCAGGTGGCTCCCAAGGGTGAAGCACACTTCCCAGGCCCTTTGGAGGCACACCCCTGGCTCCCCGTGTGTCTCCCCGAGCTGTGAGCGAGGGCTCAGCCCAGAGGCTCTTTCCAAGCCCTGTCTGCTCCCTGCTTCTGGCCTGAGCACAGCTGGGCAGCACAGCCAGGGACAGCCTTCTCCTCCACTAACAGCTCCTGAGGCACTACAGCCAGGAGCACCAGCAGGGCTCTCCTGAGCTCCTTCTGAGGGTTACACCAGGCCTGGCCACCTGCTTTTGGGAAGAGGTCAGGACCAGGCTTGGCTCACATTCTGGAGTGACTTTTCCTTGTGAGAAGTGCCGTGCCTGGCCTTGGTGACACAATATCCATGGGCCAGGGGTACCTGGGGCCGTGCCAGCCCCCAGCCAGCAGCAGCAGATTTATTCCCTGCCGTGGCTGCAGCAGGAAAGGTCACCCGTGCCCTGTACATGATTCATTGTCATCTTCCTGCCTCGCTGGCCCGTGTGCATCACAATATATAACCCGTAATGTGTTCTTGTGACCTTACGGAGCAGCTGATTCCTTCCTGCTCAATGAGGCAAGCCATGAGGTAATCTCAGGGAGACAGTCAGAAATTGGTTAATGTTTAAGCTCTGGGGCAGCAGGTGTGGCTGTCCTCCCTGCTGAGGGGTTCTGTCCCTACAGAAGCTGTCCCATCCACACAATTACACCTCCAGGGATGTTCCTGGAGGTTTCAATACAAAGCTGGATCTGAAGAAAGGCATCATTCCTATTTTTATTGCCTACACTCAAGGGGACTTTCCCATGAAAGAATCAACTGGACAAGCAACAACTTCAGTGACAGGATTTTACCTTTTCACATAACCTCAGTAAAGGGACTCATCAGAGAAATCACAGCAAGCCCTCTACATTTAGGTTTAATTGCACTTAAATTCCCTGTCATCACAGAAAGAGTTCACGCTCCACAGTCTTTCTAAAATCATTTTAGCCACTCAGAATTCTTCAAACATTAATGGGCAAAATACCTTCATAGCATCAGTCGCGCCAAAGGCTTTTAAAAGTTGCAGCAAATCTAATCCACTCCAGTGGGGCCTAAGAGGTGAAATCAGCTGTCTGAAACGCAGCGTGCTTGTTGAACGGACCTGAGGGTGTGGAGGCAGACGCCAGGGCCTTCCAGAGGCCGTTTTGGGGTGAGATGCCAGCTCTGTGCTGGGGGGAGAGAGATGCCAGCTGTGTGCTGAGCCCTGGGGCTGCAGCCCTGGGTGTGTGTGCCACCCTGGCTGTCCTGCAGGTGTGAGGGTGCTCTCGCAGTCGTTCCCCAGCTGTGCTGCAGGAGGTGACTCCTGGGGGCTGCAGGCTGCTCCCCTGCAGGCTCACAGCTCCCCTGAGCTGGCTTGGGTGCACCTGGGGGCAGCCTTTAACTCACCCCCCGCTGCAGGGGGATTTGCTGGGGGGGCTCGCCGTGGCAAGGGAGCTGCCCTGCTTTTGAGGAGTGGCTGAGCTTGTCTGTCTGTGCCTGGCAGCTATCGATTTTCTGGAGAAAATCCTGACGTTTAACCCGATGGACCGGCTGACGGCCGAGATGGGGCTGCAGCACCCCTACATGAGCCCCTACTCGTGCCCCGAGGACGAGCCGGTGTCCCAGCACCCGTTCCGCATCGAGGACGAGATCGATGACATCCTGCTGATGGAGGCCAGCCACAGCCAGATGTCCAACTGGGACAGGTACCGTGCTGCAGGGCAGGCCCTGCCTGCGGGGCTTTAGGCAGGGCTGGGCTGGTGAGCCTCGGGGTGGCTGGGCTCCACCTCGCCTGCTCCAGACCCAGGAGACGCCTGCTTTTCCTTCTCCCTGCCATGTTGTAATTCCAGCCCAAGCTGCCCAGAGGCTCATCCTGGATTCCACAGGCACCAGAAGCTGAGCCTGCACGCCCTGGTTGCTGAGCGCCTTTCTGCTCTTGGTTTTACTCACAGCCTAGCTTGTCTTCATGTGGGTTTAAGTGGCCCTGCAGCCCTTCCCTCTGCCCTCTGTACCTGTAGTACAGGTACAAAATAATGTAATTCTTGTACCTTTTGGGGACAGGGCCTGATTTGGAGTGTTATATTCACCACTTTTCAAAGTGCATAACCCCAGAGGCCACAGATTGGCGGCCTCGTCAAAAATCCTGAATTGTGTTGACCTTTAAGTGGTTTGCTGGAAGCCCTGCTGGAAGTTTGTCACAGCTCAAGGCCTTGAGCTGAGTCTCTCACGTTCTAGGTGATTCCCCCATCACTGGGCCAGTCCCAGCACTGGAGCAGGCAGGACAAAATAAGCAGCTAAGAATTAAAAAGGTTCAGTTTTCTGTGGAGCTCCTTGTGGCTGTGGGGGATGAACTGGCTGAGGATGTCTGCAGCATTGTTCCTCCCTGCAGAACAGTTAAATATCCTCACCTTCCAGATCCACTGGGTCTCACTCAGGCAGGGAGGAGGGCTGGAAGCAGGATATCTACCTCCAGGGTATCCCCAGAGCAGCAGCTCAGCTGCTGTCACCTTCCTTGGTGTGACTCAGGGGGCTGAGTGGGGCTGTCTGCCCCCAGCTGGGGACATCCCCTACCAGGCTGTGGCTCTGCAGCACCAGCCAGCTGCTTTGGGGACAGCAGGTGGCTGTGGCCGTGTGCTGAGGGACGCCTGAGGAGCAGCTGGGTGCTGTGACAGGTCCCAGGAGCTGGGATAGTGTGTTCTACAGGCAGCTCAGTTAGGAACCAGTGAACCAGGTGTCACTGGAGAGCCCTGGGTGCTGTCGGGCACGTGCAAGTCAGGGACTTCACCCGGCTGGAGAGCTGCCACTGAGCAAGGTGAGCCTCCAGAAATGCTCTGGGTCCTTGACATCAGAACAAACTGGTGATGGCCAGCCTCAGTGGGGCTGCTCACAGAATCACGGAATCACAGAATCACAGAATCACAGAATCACAGAATCACTGGGATGGAAGAGACCTTCAAGATCATCAAATCCAACCCAGCCCCAACCCCTCAACTAAACCCTGGCCCCCAGTGCCACATCCAGGCTTTGTTAAGCACACCCAGGGATGGGGACTCCACCACCTCCCCAGGGCCATTCCAGAACTTTATCACCCTTGCCATTAAAGCTTTTTCCTAATATCCAACCTGTATTTCCCTTGGCACAGCTTAAGGCTGTGTCCTCTGGTTCTGCCAGTTTGAAGTTCATGTCTTTTACTGTTCTGTCACCAAGCAGGAAGGGCTCACCGAGGTGTGTGGGCGAGGGCAGATTGGGTATTCATGGTGTTATTCACGTTTTAACCCGAGTGGAGGGGAGATGATCGACATCTAAAGGAAGGGGCCACTTGGTTTGGTTGTTGGGCTTTCATTCCTGCATCTCAGGCTCTTGATAAATAAAAATTATTGCCCCCCTGACAATTTGGCAGAGGAGCAGGCTATCTGTGCTGTCAGAAAGGCGAAAGCAGCGGGCAGAAGGCCAGCAGCAGTGCTGGGGCTGCCCGTGCCTCACAGCAGCGTGTCTTTGGCAGGTACCACATCAGCCTCTCCTCAGACCTGGACTGGAGGCACGACAAGCACCACGAGATGGACGAGGTGCAGCGGGACCCGCGCGCGGGCTCCGAGGGCGCGGCCGAGGAGGCGCAGGTCGACCCGCGGAAATACTCCCAGAGCAGCTCGGAGAGGTTCCTGGAGCTGTCCCACTCCTCCATGGACCGAGTCTTTGACGCCGACTGCGGGAAATCGTGCGACTACAAAGTGGGGTCGCCCTCCTACCTGGACAAGCTGCTGTGGAGGGACAGCAAGCCCCACCACTACTCAGAGCCCAAGCTAATCCTGGATTTATCCCACTGGAAAAGGGCGACCATAGCGCCCGCAGCTGAGCTGTCGCTGGAAGAGGAGCCTTCCAACCTGTTCCTGGAGATTGCCCAGTGGGTGAAGAGCACGCAGGTGGGGCTGGAGTGCCCCGGCTCTCTGCCGGAGGTGCAGGAGCAGAGCCTGCCCTCGTCCCCTCGCCGCCTCCGCAAGGAGCCCGCCGCGGTGGGCAGCGAGACCGAGCCCGAGTTCGACCTGGACGTCTTCATCTCCAGGGCGCTGAAACTTTGCACAAAGCCCGAGGAGCTCCCGGACAACAAGCTCAACGAGATCAACGGGGCCTGCATCTCGGAGCACGCCGGGGACATGGTGCAGGCTGAGGTGTTCCAGAAGGAGCGGTGGTGAGCGCCCCGCGCCTCCCTCTCCTTCCGGGGCCGTGCAGCTTCCCTGAGCATCCCCTTCCACACTGCACCAAACGCCTTTTTGGGAAAGGCAAGCACAAACCACACGCCCCCCCTTGATGCCTTAGAAGTGCTTCTAAGGGGATCGAGAGGTGCGGATGAAATACTGAGTTTCTTACACTGCCTTAACAATCTTGCCTTGCGATCTCTGGGACCTGTTTGAAACTTAAATGTACGAGGGGAAAAACGACAGTACATGGTAGGTTTGCAAACAGTAGTCAAATAGACTTCCTTTCCTTTCTTTTTCTATAGCAACTTGAAATGACAAGGACGAAATTAACATTTTCAGTATGGTCAGATGCCCTCCTGGTTGGACAGGTTCCCAAAACACCAAACTTTGAGCCCCTCTGAGGCACCTGTGTGAGTACAGGTATGGCACAAAGTGATGCCAGCCATCAGAACGGAACTAGAGGTAGAGTTTGGCCATCAGACAAAAAAATAACTCTCTGACAATGTTAATGGGGAAGAAATTTGACCTACAAAGTATGGGCCGTTGGGGATTTGTTTTATTTTTTTCTGAGGAGAAGACAAAGTTTTTGCTAAGTTTGTGGTTTCTCACACCAAAATCTCCCCTCGGCTGCACGGGGTGCAGCAGGGGATGCACGGGGATCTGAGCTTTCCGAGCACTTGGGAGGGCCCATGGATGCACTTGAGTGCAACAACCTGGTGCTGCTGCCAGCCCTGCCTCGGACAGCTGCCATGAGACCAGCAGAATTCCAGCAGGGAGAGCTGGGAGCGGGCTGTCCCACGGAGTGACACTGCACCACCAGCCACGCGGGCCCAGCAAGGGCTCCCACCCACCTCTGCTGCTGGAAAAGGAATCAAAGCACTACTGGCTTTCCTCCTGACAAGGATCTCGTGAAGAAAACAGCAGTTCCTGTGGCACGAGGTTCAAAACTGGCCTCTTCACCCCCAGCTTCTGTGCAGGATGCTGCTGTCAGCAGGCAACTCTGTGTAAATAGATGAAGACACAACTGATCTACTGTACCTTCTGTTTTCATCCACACTTCTGAGCACCTTAATAATTAATCGGCTAACAAGAGTTTGTATATGGGAGAAATGTTCTATACTTATATTTAACCCAACTCGGCAGCTTTTTAAACGGAGATCTGTAAATAGTGCAGCACAGGATAGCCTCTGCTTTCCTCACCACCCTGCTCACATTTGTAAAAGAGAAACTGCTGTATTTAGTACTGCAAGGCCCATATTTAACTACTCCTAGTTCAATTATTTCTACCCTTTTAACAAGCAATCCACGAAATGCTCTGAGATGTGAAGACACTCGTGTGAGGCTCAGATAACTAACAGCAGTGTTTACTGTTCTAGCCCTGGTTTCTGCTCTTGCTGGGACCAGGGGCAGGTTTAGCTGTAGCAGGCCTTGACCAGCCCAAAAACATGTTCCTACTGTGAAGATCTCACACTGGGGTGATGGAAATGCCTCTGCTCCAGCCGGCCAGCAGCACTGGTGTGAGGGCAGCCAGGATGGGATGGGCTGCACCCAGGTGCAGGGGTGGAGAAGGCTTTTGTCAGGCAAAGCTGGTGGAGAAGGGCTCAGAAAGGCAAAGCCATTCATCTCTGGCCTTTGCTTTGAGCGTTTGGATGTCCCCCAGAGTGGCTTAGAAAGGGGAAACAGGACAGAGACAGAGGTTTGGTTTCTGGTGTGGTGCAGGCGATTGATATACCTCAACTCAAGCTCAGCACTTTCACTGCTGGTGGGGGACATTCCAATGCCAGGAGCAGCCACCCCCGTGCTGGAGCAGATCCAACCAGCCCAGCAGCCCACGGCTGGCTGTCCACGTCCCACTGCCCATGGTCCCACTGCCCTCAGTCCCATTCCCCATGTCCCACTGCCCACGGCTGGCTGTCCACGGTCCCATTCCCCATGGCCCACTGCCCATGGTTGGCTGCCCAGGGTCCCACTTCCCATGTCCCACTGCCCACAGTCCCATTCCCCATGTCCCACTTGCCATGTCCCACTGCCCATGTCCCACTGCCCATGTCCCACTGCCCATGTCCCACTGCCCATGTCCCACTGCCCATGTCCCACTGCCCACAGTCCCATTCCCCATGTCCCACTGCCCATGTCCCACTGCCCATTTCCCACTGCCCACAGTCCCACTGCCCATGTCCCACTGCCCATGGGTTTTCACCAATATTGCTGAACGGAACATGCCTTGGCTTGTCCAGCCCTGCTGCTGAGCCAGACAGGGGCTGCTGTGGTGTTCCACCCCAGAGACACTTTGTGTAGCCGTGGGTGGCAGCTGGGCGCCTTGGGGTGACCCCGGGCATGCCCCAGCTCCACTGGTTGTGGCTGGAGCTCACTGTCAAGAGGGTCACTCCTCAGGCCTCCCTGTGCTGGAGGTGGTGAAGGAAGGAATGGGTCCTGATGGAGGGTTTAATCCAGTGTTTATTCTGGGCCACGTGGCCCCTGAATGTAGCAACAGCTCCAACAGAACTTGCAGTGCATGGTCTGCTCGGCATTTTACCCGGGGGAGAGGGGGAATCCAAGGACCACTAACCAGGTATGGGAGGAAAAGGACACCTGGATGGGCCAGTGGCCCCCAGGGATGGAGAGCGTCTTTTGAACCTGCCCAATCGCTCGATGCTCCTCTGGAATTCCTGGGTTGATAGACAGTGCCCAGCAGGAGTCACGGTGGGGGACAGGAGAGGTGATTGACACCTGGGGAAGGACCGAGGTAACTGAGGCAAGCCACGACATCACACAACAGCTGCCCATGTCCCCCTGCCCATGTCCCATTCCCCCAGTCCCACTGCCCATGATCCCCTTCCCCACGTCCCACTGTTCATGTCCCACTGCCTACGGTCCTGCCCAGCTCTGTGGGCATCCCACAGCAGCCAGCAGAGGCTGGACTGCCCAGCTTGGGAGATGTGCCAGGGAGGAGCAGCCAGCTGTGTCCCGGCTGTATCCCAGCTGTGTCCCAGATGTATCCCGCCTGTGTCCCGGCTGTATCCCAGCTGTATCCCGGCTGTCTCCCAGCTGTGTCCCAGATGTATCCCGCCTGTGTCCCGGCTGTATCCCAGCTGTATCCCAGCTGTGTCCCATCTGTGTCCCAGCTGTGTCCCAGCTGTGTCCCAGCTGTATCCCAGCTGTATCCCGGCTGTCTCCCGGCTGTCTCCCAGCTGTATCCCAGCTCTGTCCCAGCTGTGTCCCAGCTGTATCCCGGCTGTCTCCCAGCTGTGTCCCAGCTATATCCCAGCTGTGTCCCAGCTGTGTCCCAGCTGTCTCCCAGCTGTGTCCCAGCTGTGTCCCGGCTGTGTCCCAGCTGTGTCTCGGCTGTATCCCAGCTGTATCCCAGCTGTGTCCCAGCTGTCTCCCAGATGTGTCCCAGCTGTGTCCCGGCTGTGCCCCCAGGCTCTGAACGGAGCCCATCCCGCCGGGAGAGTCCAGCCTGCGGTCAGCACCCGGAGCCAGCAGAGGCCGGACCGCAGGAGGAGAGCAGCTGGGTGACCCTGGCAGCTCTCCTGGCAGCTCTCCTGGAGACGGGCAGCCCGTGCTGCCGTGGGGTGGGACACCAGAGCCCAGCCCGTGCAAACCTCGCTCTCCTGGCCGGGCAGCCGCGTCCCCTGAAACCAGAAGCCATTTCCCATGGGCTGTCTCTTCTCCAGAGGCTGCAGGACTGTTTATTATGGCCATGAAAGAAACCGTTTTGCTTTTGAGTGTTGTCTTGTGGGCCCACAATTAAAGGGTACAACGGACTTGGTAACAAGCAGACAGAGTGTGTTGCTGCCACTCCGGATTTTCCATCTCGCTTTGTGAGCTCTTATTTAATGTTGCTCTAAAACCTCAGCATCACATGCTGGGAAAAGGGGATAAGAGGGATGGCTTTAATTTGTTACCTGAGTGTGCTTAGCTGATCACAAGCCAGATCTGTCTCTCATTTGCAAAAATAAAACGTAAGGCCTGAGCCTTCCTTGCGTGGCAGTGTGTAATTATTTTATAAATTATTATTATTTTTATTGTGAAGTGTTTGCTCTAGTATTGGAGTAAAAATCCACAGAATTCCGCAAATCATAGGATTCAGAGGGCATTCACTGAAGGAGGCACAGGGCACTGCTGTTGCTGATGGCACTGTGGTGGCCCCCGAGCCCCCGTGGCCCTGGGATGGGTGCACACCCTGGGCTCAGATAAAACCCAGCTGTTCTGGGCTTTGTTTAAAGAGCAACAGGGGGAGCAGAAAAATCCCTCCCTGAAACTGCAGGAGCTGCTCCTGGTGGCTCCTCACCAGGATCTGCTTTTCCACTGCAGCCACCCACCCATGGCTGCAGCCTGGGCACCCCTCAGGAAGGAGATTTAAAACTCCCTCAGATGTCAGGGAGATGCCTCCAACAGCTCTGTTGCTGCCCCAGAGATTGTTCTTCCTCCGTCTCAAATATGTGGTTATTTTTGCTGCAGTTTATTTTTGGTGGTGCTGGGACTCAGCAGCTGTCACACCACCGCAGAGCTGCACTAACCAGGCCTTCAGAGCTCCACCGTGGCAGTAACAAAAATACCACCCCAGCTGCCTTTTAAAAGGGGCTTTGGGGACACCCCGGGGGCTTTTTCCTGTGCAAATCCCTCACAGACCCCAGAGCCAAACCACAACATAGTGTCAGTGCGTTTTACAAGTGGGCTTTTTGGAGACTGGACTGCAAATGATCGGTTCTGTCCCTCGGAGCAATTTCATGCCACCATCTACAGTTTTTGAGAGCTTGCAGTGAGAGCACTGTATAGTGTGGCATGCAGGCATTTCAGCTCTGAAATTTTCTTTCTTTTTCATCTGGTTCTAAGAGGAGTTGAAGAGAACAAATGCACCATATGGTGTTTGCTTGTGAATTGTTGCCTTTGACATTTTGAAAGGCAGAGTTTGCTTCTGAAGCAGTACGATATTCGGGTGAATGGAGTCCTCTCAAAGTGCATCTTCACTTTCTGAAGCTGTGCTCACCCCGCTATTTTAAACTGCCATCTGGGCACTGGGG